AACTCGACGACTTTTCCGCCCCTTGTTCGTCTTGGCTTGACCTCACCGTCTGATGTCGACCCCTCTAAGCCCCTCACTTTGGCAGCGGGAACGGGCATCCTGTAAGTCGGAGAGCAACGCATGAGAACGAACGTGCGATGGCCACGATGGCGGGGTTGAATGGATCTACGATGCCACTTTTCTCCATGCTATGATCTGTATAAGAAGGTGCCGACATTGAGTTCTCGTCGCCCCTATCAGAGTCTTGAGAGTGAGGCAGAGACTGTTTTCGGTTCTGCCGCCCGAACTTTGAATACAAGATGTCATATAAATCGCTCAGTCTTGCGGCCGCGATCGCAACCGCTGGACGAGTTGCCGCTCTCAGCAATGGACTGGCCGATACACCTCCGATGGGCTGGGTAAGTTACAAGAACCTGCTCGGAAGTGTTGACTTCAACTTACAATCATCAGAACAACTGGAATGCCTTCGCATGCGATGTTTCCGAAGACCTCCTCCTGGGCACATCAGAGCGTGTCGTCAGTCTGGGCCTCCGTGATCTGGGCTACAATCACGTAGTACTGGATGACTGCTGGCAAGATGAGAATGGTCGCGATGCCAAGGGAAAGCTCCAGCCAAATCTTGCAAAGTTTCCTAACGGACTGAAATACGTCTCGGACCATCTTCACAGCCAGGGACTCAAATATGGCATGTACTCGAGTGCTGGCGAGATGACTTGTGCCAGATTTGGTGAGTATTTCATTTTCACTTCTATCACGATGGTGCTTTGATGAACAATACTGACGCAAGGCAGCGGGCTCTCTCGATCATGAACACGACGATGCTCAGAGCTTCGCGTCATGGGGCGTCGACTTTCTCAAATACGACAATTGCTACCATATGGGCCGCATGGGAACACCGCAAATCTCCTTCAACAGGTTCAAAGTCATGGCTGATGCCCTCAACGCAACGGGCCGTCCCATCGCCCTAAGTCTCTGCAACTGGGGCGAAGACTACGTTCACACAGTTCGCTACCATCTCATGTCTATGACTTCTGTATTTGTTTTACTGACACTCTAGCAGTGGGGAATGTCCATCTCAAACGCATGGCGCATGTCAGGCGACATCTACGACGCCTTCACCCGTCCCGACGACCTCTGCAGTTGCAACCAGGCCTCGGACCCCTTCTGCGTCGCGCCAGGAACCCACTGCTCCGTCCTCTTCATCATCAACCGCGTCGCCACCTTCGCCGACCGCGGCATCCCCGGCGGCTGGAACGACCTCGACATGCTCGAGGTCGGCCAGGGCGGCATGACGGACGAGGAGTACAAGGCGCATTTCGCCCTCTGGGCCGCCCTCAAGTCGCCGCTGATGCTCGGCAACGATCTGCGGGATATGCCCGCCGAGGCGCTAAGTATTGTCAACAACCCGGCCATCATCGCCATCAGTCAGGATCCTCACGGCCGCAGCGCGTTGAGGGTGAGGAGGGATGTTGGAGGGGATCTGGTTCCGGACGAGTTTGGCGTTGCTGAAGCACAGGTCTGGAGTGGGCGGTTGGAGAACGGAGACCAGGTCGTCATCTTGCTCAACGCCGCCGGCGCGGATATTGAAATGAAGTCCTCGCTCGCGGAGATCTTCGTGGCAGATGGGCCTGGTGGCTCGGCGCCGCAGGTCAAGTCTAAATGGGCTGTTCACGATCTCTGGGCCGATAGGATGCCTACGGAGACGGCAGAGTCGTTATTCGCAGCCGAGAGCCACGACGCGCGGGCCAAGATTCTACGGGATGCCGAATGGTATAATGCTACCGAGACGCCTTATGCCCTCGGTCTAGAGAAGGAGGACCCGAGGCTGTTTGGCCAAAAGATTGGCGAAGTCGAGGCAAGAGGCGTGTTGAAGGCTTCGGTGCCCAGCCATGCGGCCAAGGTATTCCGTTTACGGAGAATCGCGCAACCTGGAGATGGCTTCAAGACTAAGAGTCATGACCGTACGCAAAGAGCTGTGAAGGACGAACTTTGAAGTGACTTGGAACCTTCAACGTGGAAGCTGAGGAAAACTTGGATGATTGGAAACGGCAGCGATCGCTCTATTATGATCATCGAGGTGGAAATGGATCAAGATGTGGGATGAACATCAATCCTGTGAAATATAATTGCGTTTATAGAGGGATAAGAGTATTTCAAACGAGAAGAGGAAATTAGAAAGCGGATTCTGATAAACCTAGAAGGTCATTTAACGTCATCTTTATTCCTCAAAACTCCCTGGCAGGTGACATCGTCGAATCTCAAAAGCCAACACATCTTTCAGTAATGAGTGAAATCAAGTAAAGAATCTATGAACTATTTGGAATTTCACTTCAAGGTCAGGAGAAAATTGCAAATAGGGGCCACGAGGTGATTGTTCCCTCGACGAAGTAAGTAAGCAACGTCTTCATCTACCACGCGATGCAAGGCAACACCAGATCGCTTTGGATATTCACGGCGATTTCAACATCAAGCCCAGCTCTTCCCCTATCAGACGACAATGACCTCAAAAATCAACAGACACCAACCAAGAGAAACGTCCACAGAGATTGCCTTGATTCAACTTCCGCCACAGACGCAGTCGTATCGGGCTCGGACCGGCACATACGGACTCACCCAAGCCTCCAGGCGTCGCCGCTGCGAGACAACATCTACGACATACTCCAGGAGCCCAAAGCTAAAGCCCAACAAACAACACCCTTTCCGAGACAACCTGACTATCCAGCAGAGACCACAGAAGCCCCGCGTAGGGAGCCAATATCACTCCGATCATGTCCGGGGCCTCTGTTGACCCCCTCTTCACCTGACTCTGAGCTACAATTTCCAAACTCACCTGTAACCCTGCGACCCGATTCACCGTGATGAACAATGCCATTATCAAGAAAGGCAAGGCAAGAACAGGCGAAGTGCGCGTCGATATGATCCGGGGTGCAATGGACATGGTACTCTACGGAGACTCCAAGGAAGCTATTCCCTCTCTCGCTTTCTTTCTTGCGTCTTCCTTAGACCCAATTTGACGGAACAGCCTACATGTATTGTGGGACGAGCGTGATCCGAGCCCCTGATCCGCCGAGCATCCGGACTCGCCTATTCAAGCATGTCGTGTCTCGATGCCGAAGCGCCCCCGGACAAAAGTCGTCACGTCGTCCCTCCTCCAGGGGCCTCCAGAGAAAGAGGAGAGAGGTCCGTTGTCAGAGGATGAAAGGTCGGCCGAGGTGAGCGGTAAATCCCCCCCCGGGTTCGTCGATGTTCATCCCTCGACCACTCGCCCAGTCAGCCCTGGCGATTTCGATCGATTGGAAACCGCGGAGTTGATGGAGCCGGATCGGCATCCTGATATGGGAACATCATAGCCATGAAACGTTCCATGGAAAGATCTCACAGTAAAGTGCCGTCACTGGAGACGAAAAAGTCATGGGCTGTTGCTAGGTTTCCTGGAAAGAATACTTCCATAGGTTTTCAATCTAGAGCCATGTCGCGCTCGAGGGGGGTACATGTCGTTGAGCCACGATACGGACGAGCTGCAGTCGATGTCCCTGATCAAGTGTCACCCGCAAAAGTGCCTGGCCGTTCAGTCGACAGCTGAAGTAACGAGTCAGCCCCTCTTTCCAAGAAAAGCCACAACCCTGAGGAGAATTTGTCAACAGGCCTTGCAGATGTGAGGAGCGTCTGATCTGCTGAGAAGCCAAGCAAACTAAAGAGGCTGCAAGATGTGGCCCGAGGCGTTGCAGTAACATAAGGTAGCTGCTTTCTTCACACCCCACGCCCCCCCTTGGGCTCCCCACTGAGCTTCGCAAATACTGCGCCTCGAGTTGGTCTATGATCAACTCCCTGCTCTGTGGAAGGTCACAGTTCTCGGGTACATCCGTACATGAGGAGAAGGAGGGAGGGAGGGACAAGGAGCGAGAGAAAAGAAACCAGGAGTGGGATCGCCGCGAGGGCACAGCAGAACGCCTCACTCCCTCGGGGCTTAGGTGGTCATAAGAGGTTGGACCAATAGAGGACCTTTACGAGCGAGACTGACTCTGATCGAGACCTGCAGGGTGTTGGTGACATGCCTGGCCGAGAGATTGGTGGTAGAGCCCAGAGGGCTGTTGTGAGAGCCACGGTGATCCATGCTATACTTTAGACCACCAAAGAGCCGATTGCGCTACAGAGGACAGTGATACCTCGTATGAGTTAGCAGGCAGGGAAAGGCGCGATGGTGAGGTACGAAGGTCGTGCGGTTTGGGATTGAGTGGCATGCCTTGCAGCAATGTCGTCAGACTCGTATCTTCCCTGGAGAACATCGCTCAAGCCGTCGTGCTGGGACCGAACCGTTGTGCAGAGTCTCCATCCAGGTCATGCAGCCAAAAGGAAGCCAGAAAAAGCATGTAATACTGTGCAGTATAATTAGGTTACCCGGACTCAGTCTGTTCGAAGGACGCGTCAAATTAGGAAGCGCCATCGCGTACTCCGTAGATCCCGTTGTTCGTTTGGTGTCATCCAGCCCCCACCCAGCAGGGAGGCAGTGGGAGGGCTACCGAGCGCGGTTTGCGCCTCAGCTAGGCATGCCACCTTGGGTCTAAGAAAGAGTAGACGTGTGTGTTGAGTTGGTGTCCGACTTTGTATTCCCCGCCCTCGGATGTCGCGCTGAGCAGCTGGGGCGGCAGACTGGCTCAAGGGGACCCGTACCACGGATCTTGGGTAGATATTCCTGGTCTCGATTCTCCAGTCTATATTGAGGAGCGGCAACCATCTGTTCCGTCATCGGATGTGAACCATCAGCCAGACACGGCCGCAGGGTCAGGTTGGCAGTCGATGAAGGTGGAGTATGCGTGAAGCGCGGCAAGCAAGGACCGTATGTTCAAGCTCTTTGCATCATCTGATGAACATACTTGCTCGAGATGATGCAGCTTCCCACCGCTCTCTGCCATAAACCTGTGTCGGTGTACGGGAACATGCAGATGCCACCAGGGGCGGCTTAGGGGGAACTCGTCTCCTGCGCATTGTGCCTATTCCTGATGATGCTCTATGTACTGGCAGGCTCGCCGTCTTGGCTCGCCCCTCCCCAAAGTAACGGTGAGTTGGGAGATTTTCTCCCCCCTGCACCCTAGCTTTTACAGTTCTGGACCGATCGGATGGAGTCGTCCCCAAGAGCCAAGGCAAGGTAATGCTTGTCGTCGATCTCTACTGTGTCGTCGTCGCTGGTCACCCGTTCCCGAGGGACTATTGACTAGGTTGGTCGTTCGTCTAGGTAGTCTTGAGCGACGACCATCCCAGAGCAATTTGCCCGCTTCTCCCGCGTGATTGTAAGCTCGACTAGGCCTGGAATTTGAAGCACTCTGGATCATTGGAGGTCGACCCATTCTGGGCACGACGGAAACGCGAAACGTAGCCCTCGAGGGGCTAGTCCTGGCGATCATTACTCCTCCCACGTGGTCGCAAATCAAACAAAAACCGGTGAGGCTAATGAGCTATCAACGCGGGACCAATAGCACCAGGCACGCCGTGCGTGGATGGCAGAAAGTGTGCGGTAGAGGAAGACCCAGTCGAGATTGTGAGCGGCAACTTCACGGGTAAGCCAAGCCAAGCCATTGGGTTTCGTGAACCCCCATATTCACATGAGAGTGAGACTGAAGAGTCGAGGGGAAGAAGCGACCGGGATCCTGAAAGATCTGGAAGCACGGCAGGCTAGTGCTATGTCGCTCAAGATATCGCAATCAACTGTGTCCGTACCTTGGCCCACTGCGTCCACAGTCCAACGCAATGAGCCAAGCCGTGTTGGCGCTGCGGCTGCCCGTGGCACCCTTGGCTGCGTAAACCACGGGCTTGATGATGTCCCGTCGCTAGAGGCACGACTTACCGAACAGGGAGGCCTAGAGTTTGACAATGACACTTTCGTAGATGAGCTAGCTATCCGGTTAGCCTGTTAGTATCGTCTTGGGCCACATAAATGGCGACAGAATAGGTCGATAGACTCGCAAAACAATTCGAATGCTGGTCATCCCCACGCTGAATTAGCTCTTCACGACACGTCTAGTCCACTAACGCCCAACGCCACGAAACGCCTTCGTTTCTTATTCCAACATCTCTCCACTTTCTCATATTATCTTGGAAAGTTCTTCTTGGCCGACTGACATGACACGAACGGGGAGTCGGGGGCGACTCCAGCATTGCCAGCATGGTCATCCCGAATAAAAGAAAATTTGGTCGTGTCACCAGACCAGGTCTAAACGAGAGTGAGGTACGGTAGTCACGGTATTCCGTATAGGTAGAGTACGGAAACGCAACGCAACGCAACACATCTTTGCGAGCATCTACACAGAAGATGTTCCTCTTGTGTTCCTTTCTTTTTGCTGATTGGTTGCACACGCCTTACTGCAGGATCGTGGAAAAACAAACCGAGATGAGGTATGCTGACGGCAACCCGCAGAGCTTCCAGAGACTTGAACGGTGCGACCAGGTCATTTGCGTGCCATACTGTCGTGCTACGATCCTGGCGCCCGCTCAAAGTCGTCTGGAATCACGGGTTCTACCACGAGCTCTAGAATCGCGTCGGGAAGATGATGCTGCCGTTACCGATTAGAGCCAGAATACAGGGATGATCTCGTCCGGTACGACAGGCGACAAGTCAAGTGCTCAGTCCAAATGCTGCCGGGGACTTGTCGCGCGTCGTGATTGGAATTGCTGTATCAACAAAGTTTATGTGAGATGGCGCTGCCCAGAGAAAGCAGTGCTATGCTGCAGCGTCAATTGAGTCGAGGACTTGAAGATACATAGGATACTTTGCCCAACAATCGATTGCGCACGCAATATGATATGCAAAACACAGCTGGCGAAGCGCCTGAATCTTGCAGTTATTGAGCGTAAAGTTGGTATTGATCTTTTGAGGTGTGCGCCCGGCATGTGCCTTATTCGACGGCAAGCAGCACGAAGTTCCCCTCAGATCCAGCAGTCAGGGGCGGGTAGTTGAGACAAGTCTTTCGAGCCTGGTGTCTTCGATCCACGAACCAGTATCCGAAGGACTGGTTCGTGGACAAATCAGTGCATTGGCTGAATTCGCATAACAAGGTCGCACAGGTAGTCCGGGGCACACGTCGTATAACGTCTTTTGCCGAGTGCGCATGAGAGGTAATGATCAAGCTGTCATACTGTGGCGTAAAGGAAACGGTCCCATCGAGGTAAGTTGTATACTGCCTTTTTGAGGTCCGACGTCTTTCTGCTGTTGGGCACGTCGAGCCCAGATACCGATTATGACAGCCGTCTCTTGAATAACAAGTTTGAAGGAGCGGGAAAATCAAGGCCATGGCTCGCGTTCTCGCTTAGGGTTGCTCAACCTCTACATGCCGTCATGTGACAAACAAGGTCGCCATTGCATGAATTGGAGGTTTTCGTGAGGCTGCCAAGAGCGTTGGCAACAGCGCGAGGGAACCCAGAGACGTGGTTATGCCGAAGTGTGTGGCTGCTGTGCTGGTAACAAGGCCATACATGGAGTAGATTAGCGAGAGTGAAGACACGGCAGCAGCCATTATCCGTATGCAAGCCGAGGACTGTACCAACATACCGAGCTGAAAGTAACCATGGATGAGCAAGGAAGGTTCTCTTTTGAGCCCCAGGGAGTTGTCCAAACGACATGACTGTGGCACAAGGCCGCATGCTCGGCATACCAACCACGACTCTCTCCCAGCTCAGCTCGGAACACAGACCAATCATGGTGTCTCGAGCACGATCAATCACATTGCCGCCTCCCGCACCGGAGAATGGTGTTGCACAGCAGTTTGATGGTAGCAGGCGTTGAAGAAAGCGGTCGTATCAGACGAGGGTGTTGCGAGGGTGAGCGCAAGATCTGCTTCAAGGCCAATATGGAGGTGCATGATCTTATTAGGTGAGACCTTCTCTCTCTCTCTCTTTCTCGCGATCATCGCCTTCACCCCGCCGAGACGCTTTTGCGGCTAAGCACGTCGTTCCAGAGCTCAGTTGGTAACTTGGTAAGTTTACCATTCCGGAATGTAGCGTATCCATGGTTATACATGCAGCAGCAAGGCACTTTGCTATGCGAATCAAGGAGTAAGTACAGAATTTCTGGGAAAACGGATTAGGTAACTCCCAATGCCTATAGCCCCGTCTCAACAAACAGGGCGTTCAGTGCTGCAACGCGCTCCCGCACATTGGCCTGTGGTCGGGTAGGCGGTCGACAGCAACAGGGTCGCAATCCATTCTCTTGAACCTATTCGGCATCGTTGTTGGTGAACGCTATCTCAGATGACGCGACCCAAGACATGGTAAGGAATGGCCCATGGGTAGCATGTTTGAGGGGCTCAGCTGCCAGGTTCGGGGGAGCGCTAATTCGCGTTTAGGCTCTCAAGCAACGGCTCTGTCCTGTTTGCCAAAGCCTAGAGAATGCCTCATCTAATTACCTCGAGTGCTCACGTAGCGTCGCCCCCGTTGCCGTGACCGTGGGCTACGGACAACATCATGCGTACAATGGCCTTCAACTGATATGGTCGAGAATAGAAGGAACTATTCATCATCATGTCCTGGATCCACGGTCCTGGGCCTTCCGTTACGGCCACGAGGTGGGCCCGAGTAGAAATGTCTCGCATCACGCAAATCAGCATGTCGAGTTTCCTACCTTAGTTCTCGGAAGCGAATCTGCAACATGCGGGCCTCGAGGCAGCAATGAAGGCAAGGTACCGATTGTCTGCCCCTTCCCACCCTGGCGGGATGACTTGCATATCAAAGACATGGCCGGGCGGATAGGACATGGTGACAGGGACGAAGCAGGTGGATTGCGTTAGGGAAGATTGTACTAGGGCACAAGTGGGCAAAGTTGCACCAAAGATGAAGTGGTAAAACGGTAACAAGCGAGAGACCGTCGGTGAGAGGGCAGGCAAGGTGGGCTTGTGTGTGTCGCGCGAGATTGGCTGGACTAAGGTAGAAGACCACGCTTTCCAGGGCCATGGTAAATGTCGTGGCGAGAGACAAGCCAAGCGAGCCAAAGTCGGAGCCAAGGTGTGATGCCATGATTGGACACCTGCCACACCCGTAACCGCACCCGTAACCGCAACCGCAACCGCACCCGCAAGCGTATCGGCATCAGGCGGATGTGCCATGATGAACGGACAGTAGGCCGACCGGAGCATGAACGGCAGAGCCTGTGGCCTACGTCTCGTCCGCTTCCATCCAATGTTGCCAATGATGGTGTTGAGCCTGCTAGGCATGGCAAGTGGATGGCGCTATCTAAACGAGTAGAGGGAGGCGCCCGAGGTCGATGGTTACGGCCGTAGGCGAATGGTGCCGGCATTGTATTTGCCCTAGGAATAAGGCGGCCGACTGTGTTGGGCGAGATACGCACAAATAGCCCTTGGGGCAGGTCAATAAGCATAAGCAGAAGCAGGCTCTGCCTACCTTGACTTACTGTATAGAATACCTACCGGTAGACGAAGAAGACGGCGTGTTAGGTAGCGTTGTCGCATGGTGTGCATGGGTAAGTAGGGAGCACGCATGCGGCTTCGCGTTGTAGGATGGAGTGAGAGATGGCGAGCCAGGGAGGATTGGGAGGTGAAGAGAGCGACGAGAACAGCGTGATGGAGTCGAGATGATGACGATAACAACGGGTCTGGGAGGATCCGTCCATGGATGGCCCTGTACAGAGTAGTACCCGAGAGAGTAGCTGGGCGCCTCGATGCGAGGTAGACTAACGAAGGGCATGTCGACCTCGTGGAGTACCCGTGGAGGACGCTCTAGACTCTAGAGGGAGTCGAGGCTCGTGGTGTTTTGGCGAATTCGGGATGAATGCTTTTTCCAGCAAGCAAAGTGCAAGTGTAGCCGAAGCGGAGGCGGATGAGCAGCAAGTCGGATGTGGAAGAAGATCGAAACGGCGGGCTGCAGAGAAGGGCTCGTTGGCTCGTTGGCTCGTTGGCTCCCACACTAGCGAGGCACGCTCCCTAGCAGGCGAGGGAGAATGCAGGTTGCGGCGCAGCAGCAGCAGAGGGAGATGAACAGAGAGGAGAGTGCCCAAGGTAAAGCTTGATGGTTGAAGCTTGTTGGTTGCTTGACGAGGCGACTGGAGGGCAAGCCGCAAAAGGATGGCGAGAAGTGAGGAGGAAATGTCAGGGGGGACCCTACTCTCCGGGACCTGCAGGACGGGACTCGATGAAGGAATAAGAAAGTGTTAGCGGCAGAAGCGGGGGAAGAAATCATCAGATGTTGGACTTGTGGCGGTGATGATGCGTTGCTGCTCGTGGTGGTTATTGTGGTGGTGGACGATATTGGGTTGAGGGTGGTCGTGAGGGAGGAAGATGTCGTTGTCACAGAAGTAAGTAGGTAACCTGAGGCACATGGGTGTAAAAGTGCGAGATCTAACTAGGCAGGAACCTTGACTTGGGATCTTCCTGCCCTTGAGAGAAGTATCTACCTTGGCTATTTAGACACATGGCCTTTTCCTTCCATGGCGTGGAAAGGTGAAGAGATTCGAGGAAGGAAGGGAGTGAGGCAGGGAGGAAAGACCAGGAAGCCGTCGTATGGCGTGCCTGCCCGCGCTTCCATGGATGACTACCTACCTTCCCTACCTTACCCTCGTAATGTACATACATCGATAGGTCTTGGATCACTACTACCTTAGGTACCTTGGGTAAGGTAGGTAGGGATTCGCTGAGTGCCTTCCTTACCGGCCTTGAGCAGGTACGGGTAGGTAAGGTACTGTTCTCACCTTTTGTTCCTTACTTTAGCTCAAGGTACCTAAGGCAGAGAGCAGTCCGTTAGGTACTTTACCCAAGGTAGGTAGGTAGTAGACGGAGGCGAGTTACTATCGGCACAGGCAGCGCCGCCATGGCAGTCTAGGGCACATGGTCGCTGAAACTCGCCTGATGTCTGCTGGAAATCCGCCGGGACCAGACTGACAGCGGCCCTTGCCTTGCGCTATCCACGTCGG